TTCGTCGGCATCTGAGACGATGTCGCTGGCATCCAGCAAGTCATCCGAAACATCGTGGATGTCGTCAAGGAGGGCACCCACGTCGACTTCATCTTCGGCAGCCAAGGCCACCACCTCGTTGGGCGGACTCTGAACGAGCACTTCGTCGGCATCTGAGACGATGTCGCTGGCATCCAGCAAGTCATCCGAAACATCGTGGATGTCGTCAAGGAGGGCACCCACGTCGACTTCATCTTCGGCAGCCAAGGCCACCACCTCGTTGGGCGGACTCTGAACGAGCACTTCGTCGGCATCTGAGACGATGTCGCTGGCATCCAGCAAGTCATCCGTAACATCGTGGATGTCGTCAAGGAGGGCACCCACGTCGACTTCATCTCGAGCAGAGAAGGACTCAGCATCGCTGGAAGGACTCTGGAATAATTCTTCCACTTGAATCAAGAGGATTGGATCAGGAAGCTCGGTGAGTTGCTCTTTAAGGTCATCTACGTTGGCGAGAGGCGGGTCGCTATCGGCAAGTTGGAATTGGTTGAGGACGAGGTCGTTGTTCCACGGACCATCAGCGTCAACGTTGTCGACTTTGCTCTGAACCAAAGTGGATCCGTCTGCAGGCACAAGTTGCAACGGATTCTGGCCAGGGATCACATCGTTTCCCCCCTTTATAGGCACTAGGTTAACCGCCAATGTTTCCTGGAAGGCAACTTACCTGATTTCGAAGGTACCGCGCAGAACTTTGGTGCGCCGCACAGAAGAGAAAGATGGAAAAGCATGATGTCTTCATGGCGAAGATGATTTGGAAATGGCTGAAGCTAGTATTGTCGGCATGATGTTATGCACATGTTCTTCTAAATGGAGTGTTTGGAGTGGTCCCGTTCGAATTTCGTGGACAGTCGTTGAAGATCATGTTTGCAACCGTTTTCAGACAATGTGATTGGTCAAAGACCTTTCGACTGTAGTATCTGGTTGTAACAATCCCACAACACAAAATGCATGAGCTTCGACACTCCTCATCCTCCCACGACTCTGTCGAACGGTAGTTACAAGCAAGCCACGACTTTGTAAATCGATGAAACGGACCAATAATTAGCAGAGTTGACGCCATCTTCGACGTCGCTGGTCAATCTTGCGCCGATGGTTACAAGATTGTTATGCAGTCCAGGAGGTCAGTCAAGTCGGAAATTTGGAAGTGCCAGTTCTCAGAATAATGCCTCCTCAAAATGATCGATGACCTGATTGGTCGACGCCTTTTCAGAGTGTTGCTGGATTGTAGTACATAGATAGCATCAAAGTAGGTCATCGAGGTTCAAAGTACCTCAAAATGCAAAGTTCATCTGTATTAAATGCAAACCACGTCACAGCGAGGCGGGGACATCCATTTCAAATCTGCGAGACGAAGACGGCTACAATCCCAACAACGCTGAGTATCGTTGCTCCTTAACTCTATGCAACAGAAAGATACGCCACGAAATCCAAGACCCGCCACTCGCTATATAAACATTTTTGCATTCGTATTTCTCTAGGCATTTTCTCTCCGCATGTATAAACAACGGCGTTACTCCTGTCGTCGGCTTAGTCGAACTCTTGACCCAATCGCAACGCCAACAACGTATCGTTGTACTGGTTGAACGCGTCTTGAATGTCGTCTTGCAGTTGCATGGCCAACGGCACCAACTCCATGTTCACTCCAGCCCCGATCTGCGCCGACGCCGTCACACGGGGCTGCAGCACCTTGACCGCGTGGATCATCTCTTGGAGCGCGCCATCCGTGCGGATGTCCCCTTGGGCATAAATGATCTTTTCCAGCAGTCCATGCACCAACTCTTCCACTTCGTGGATTTCGCCGTCGTTGAGCGGCTCGGCGTCGGCAGCATGTGCTAGCGCTTCTCGTTCTTCTTCTTCCCATTGTTTGCGGGCTTCCGCGAACGCCTCGCGCTCGCAAATGTCGCCCGTCCGCAGCGTCAGCTGCAAGAACCGATCCATGTGCACGTTCAAGAGGGCGTCTGGCATTTGCGTCAGCACTTGGGTCATGTACCGATTCAGCTCCTTTTCCCGCTTCGTGATGAACTTTTCCTCTTGGTTCTTGCCAATTAACGACGAGAACGGATGCCGCTTCGGGAACCGAGGGAACCATGGTGCGCGTTTGCCCTTTTGACCCGACGCCGCCGCCTTGAGCTCTTGGTGGAGGGCGTTGAAGTCGTTGTAGCGACCGCCCACGAGCCACGCCGTCTTGGATTGCTCGAGAATGTCGCGCCCCCACGTCACCCGCAGCACGTATTCTGTGTACTCGTCGCCCCAGTTTTCGTCTTGCAGTTTGCGGTGGCCAAGCAACGTGCATGTGAATATGCCGCCCTTGTACGGAATCGGAGGACCCGTGGGGAATTCTTGCATGCGTTCGACGGGGTTGCGAAGATCGTCGTCGTCGGCACTGATCAACGGGCCTTGGATTTGGGCCCCTTCTTCGCCAAACAAGTCCACGCCCGCTTGATGCAATTCATCCGCCGACAACCCATTGCCGATAGTTCCTTCGCTAAAGGCAGGTGTGTCCTTGGGCATCCAGCTCATGTCCGGCTCGACCAAACTCTCTTGCTTGTCAATCAACGCGCCCGCAACGCCTTGCGATCCGAGAGCGCCCAGAGCCCCCGCTTCACCCGCCACGCCTTGGGCCACTCCCGCGGTGCCCAACACCCCAACGCTCGCCGGGACGACACCAACAGTCGCCGCCATTCGAGAGGCTTCCAACGAATCCAGTTTTCGGAGGGCGGCGGATTCGGCTTCGTAGGCCTTGGACGCCAATTCCGCCGCGCGCGCCGCTTCGTCCGCAGCTACAGACGCGGCCAGGGCAGCAGACTGGGCATACGCGACGGCAGCCACGCGACTCGCTTCGTCGCGACCGACTTTGCCCCGGTATGCGGCTTGGATTTTGATGGCCGACTGGGTTTGCACCTGTTGCTGTAGGACGCGCTCGGCGTCCAGACGTTGCAGGCGCAGGATCTCGTCTTCCCGGGCGCGTTGCTCCGCCATTTCCGCGACCAACCGACCGTTTCGGATTTTGATCAACCGCGACACGAGCAAGCGCTGGGCCGAGATTGCAATCAACGCGGCGTGCCATCGGCGCTTGGCCGACTTTTTGCTGGCCTGGAGCCGCGCGTCGGCTTCCTTTTGCAATCGCTCGGCTTCTTTTTGCAATCGCAAGCGCAGGGCAGCTTCTTGGGCCGCCCGACGCAACTTTTCGGCTTCTCGACGCGCCAGTTTGCCGCGCGCCACCGTCTACACCATCACTCTGAGCTCCATGTATCGACAGGATCAATATATATATATATACCTGCAGGACAGTCGCCGCACGGTTCACACGGGCGTGTTGGGCTTGCAATTTCGCCCGACTGGCTGCAAACAACCTATTGAACGCGTTGCGTCCTCTCACCACGGCCATCGCCTTCTTCCATCGATGGACCGCCGCGTCCTTGCGTTTCGCCGCTTCCCTACAAGCCAATCCGTCAGCCTCACAAACATATTCCACGACTTCATCGTCCTCATCGTACCGACTCGACGCTCGGGTGACGAGGAACTGCTTGCGCACATTGTACATGCGGGCAATGGACTGGATCTTGACAATCGCCGCCTTGCGGTTACGCACGTACTCGAGCAGCCACAAAAACGACCGCTGAGCCATCACTTTGGCCGCTGCGTACCGCCATCGCCGCCGCGCGAGCCACTTTTTGAGCCTCGCCACGATCCACGGCCCCATCTTGTTCATGTCGACCTTGAGCAGCGCGTCCAAGAGCGCGATTTTGCCCGTCTTGAAAAACACGCGCGTACGACCGAGGCGGTACGCGTCCGGGTCGACTCGAAACGCCCACAGCACCGCCTCGGTGAACGTGCGGTCGTTATAGCACTGGAACATGGGCGTCACATGGGGCGGCAGCACTGGTTTGTAGATGCGGCAGATCTCGTCATACGACACCCGCGTCGGCAGCCCGACCTTGAGCAGCTCACACGTGGCCAGCATGCCCGTGCACCGCAGCTGGTCGACCACGTACCCGTTGTCGAATGCGCCGACGGACATGGTTGGGTTGGGTTTGACGCACCGGACAAAGTTGCATCGGGTGGCGTTGAGCGTGTCGACAAGGGTCTGCATTTGGTCGCAAAACTTGAACGACACGCTGGGTTTCTTGAACGCAGCGACGCCGCCGTCGACGCCGGACTTGTAGATCTGCGCCATGAGCTCGGACGAAGACGACAGCACGAGATCCTCCAAGTCCTTTGGGATCGTGTCGTTGTTCTTGTCGATAAAGTTACCCACCGTGTACGTGACCATCGTCGCAAAGTGCTTGATGATAAACACAAACTTCTTGTCCTTTTCGTGGGGCGCCAAAAAGTGGCCGTGGCCGACGTGGGTCTTGTGCAGCGCCGCGTTCCACTTGTCATCGGTGGGCTTTTGCGTCCGCGATTCCGAGTCGAGCAGCGGCAGCACGCCGTGGGGTTTCGACGAGATCAGGTCGATGCACTCGCGGTTGTCTGGCCATGCAATCTTGCCCACGTCGATGCCTTCATGCGAGAACAGCTCTTGCTCAGCGATAAACACTTGCTGGTTGAACGTAGCTTGGAGCGCTTCGTTGGCGTAGTTGATCAAGAGCTGCTCAAAGTCGTTGTGGTCGAACGATTCAAACCCAAAGATGTCGAGCACCCCAATGAACGACAGGTCCGGCGGCCCATGACCCAACGATACGTTGATGTGGTTCACAATCCAGTCAAACAAGTGCTGGTAAATCGACTTGACAATCGCGTCGCGCACGTACATGCCTTCCTTCGCATTGCGCTTGATGACGAAGTTCTCGCCGCGGGTGTTGATGCCGCGCGTCGTGATCACGCGCTCCAGGTACGCCACGTCCACGCCCAAGTGGGTGGCGGCGATCTGCAGCGCCCCCGCCGTCGCCGTCGTGATGTCGCCGGCGTCGCCCTCGGACGTCTCGCGGTTCGTTAGCACCACGTTGCCGAAATGGAGAAGGCCGGCGAGGACAGTCCACACGTTCAGCTGCATGGCGGCGTCGACGCCAACCGACTTGAGCGCGCTGCACACGTCGTCAAAGAGGAGCTCGTCGTCAATGTTGGGGTCGGAAATGCATCCGCTTTGGTTCAGGTACAAGTAGTCGGCGGGCGACGTCAGGTGCAACTGCGCACTCAAGTCGTCGGACGCACCCGCCAAGAGGTAGTAAAACACATGGAAGTTGCGCTCGTTGGGGATTTGCGCCACGACGCGGAACTTCTCGAGCAAGTACGTTTCAATGTACGCGCCGACGAGGTGGAGGTCCACCGTGGACTTGCCCGTGTCTTGGAACTGCAGCTTCATGAACTTACCAAATCGACTCGAGTTGTGGTTGCGCAGTGTCTTGGCGTTCCCGAATGCTTCCAAGATGGGGTTCGTGTCCCACAGGCGCCGGTCGAGCTCTTGCGACGAGATTTTCGCCATCGTGACGACCGAATCGTCCTTGTTGCCGTTGAGAATGTGCTCTCGGGTCGTGATGTAGCGCAACACAATCTTGGACGTTTCGGTCTTGCCGGCGCCGGATTCGCCGGAAATGACAATCGACTGGTTCTGCGACGGCGACCGAAGCGCCATTTGCTGGAACGCCACTTCCGCCACGGCATATGGATGTGGCGGTCGGTCGCCCATCTGGGTCTTCACGTAGTCCTTGATGTTTGGCTCCACGACCTTGCGCAGGGGGTTCACGGCAATCAGCACGTTTGCCATGAACGTGTACGGGCGCTGATTGTCCAAACGACTGCGAATGTTCAAGTTTTCCAAGATACCTGCCTCGTGGATGTAGTAGAGCGACGTCATGTCGTCCACGACGCGGGGGTTCACGCGGTAGACATCGCCAATGTCGCGCATGTCGACCTTTTCTTCGCCGTGTTTACCCACCACAGTCAAGAGCATGCCCCGGTCTTCCCCATGGACCTTGGTCACTTGCACCACGCGCCAAACAGTTTCCGAGTCAGGGATCCAGATCTGCGATCCAACTTCCACCGGCTCTGTCGTGAGCATCCGCTCGACTTCGATCGTGTTGCGGCGGCGCGTCTTTTCCATGGCGCGTTTCCTGTTCTCAAGGACCAAGCGCTGGTTGATGCTCAGGTGACTCACGTCCACGGGGACCGCTGGGGCGCGGGAATGGAAGCGGTCGTGCGTTGGCAGCTCGCTCGCCGTCTTCAACCGCGACATGCTTGTCCTATCCACAGCCAAATGTAAAATGCAAACGCCAAGGCATGCTGACCCCACGGCGCGTGTGAAATTAAAAAAAGATACGGCAAAATCTATGGATTTCTCCCCGGTGAAGTATTTAATTACAATCGAGAGTGTTGATCGTTGGCCCCCACCAAATTACACCACATTGCGTTACGCGTTACACCTGTCGATCGATCCATGGCGGGAGCGAAGTCCACTGACGTCGTGAGGCTCCTGCTCCACGTGGAGGGGCATGCGTTGCCTGACGTGGAGGGACGATTGCTGCATGACTTCGAGGCAACCATGCGAGCACTGGGACACACTGTTGAGCGGCACTACAACGTCGACCAAGGTGTGCCTTCCCGCATCCTCTGGGTGCTCAATGATTCGTCCGACTCGCCGGGTGCCATACCGTACACAAACGACCCCATCGCCGCGTACACACGACTCCAAACCATGTGTGTATACATCGACCTGCTGTATATACACGGGAACTCCCCACACGCCCAGGTGACCTCCTCTCGCTGTTCACTTGCTCATGGCGACTAATCGAACAACTTCCCCGTAGGACACATACGACCAACTTCTTGCCTTGCCATGGCACGAGACTGCATACTGCTTTGATTCCCCACGTGGCGATTTGCATCTGCTTGCCAAGGTCACACCATCTCGTGTCCACGCACACGGCATGATCCTCCTGTGTGCGTATATAGGTCCTTGCAACCCTGCTTTCCAATCCTTGTCAACGACGCTTATCCCAGCCGGAAGCCGAACAGATCATGCGCATCATCTGACAAGACAACTCCATTCGACCCCAAACCAATGGCATTCAAGCAAGCCTAGCTACGCCTTGTGCTTTTTAGCCCTGTTGGCCGCGGCGTCGTCGGCCTTTCGCTTTAGCGTGCCCTTCAGCACGGGCAAGATAGGCGGGGCATCGTAGCGTTCACCAAATCGTATCCGCTCGGCGCCTTCGAAGTTGTCCTTCTTCGTAGACCCTGTTTCTTGAAACTCGAGCTCGTATCGTTCTTGTTCCGTCAATTTTTTGCGCCGAGTCTTTTCCTTCTTTGATTCCAAAAATGACTTGCGCTTGATGGTAGTCTTCTGGGTCTTCTTCGTCTCTTGGGCGAGCACGCGCTTCACTTCGGTCCCCATGCGGTGGTTGAACGCACGCATCGTCTCACCTGGACGACGACCTTCCACGTCTGCCAACGTGCCGCCGCTCTTCTTCTTTTTGCCGCCGCCCGAAGTCGACCCATTGCCTAGGACGAACCGGTCGATAGCCGCTTGATCTATCTCCTTGTTCATCATCTTCTTTTTGCGCTTCGACAGCGTCGGCGCCATGTCATACTTGGAGCTGTCAGTTCCCACTGTCTTCTTGCCCTTGAAGAACGGGTCGCATTGCTTGAGCTTGCGCTTGCTGGCCAGTCGTCCCATGCTGCAGAGGAATGAACTCTGAATTTGCAGGAGCACCACTTAGACATATACTCTGAGTATTGATATTGAGAATAAATTGAGAGAAGGAATGTATTGTGACAGGTCAATGTACATTTGATGTACACTAATTTACAGTTATTTGTTCATACAGTATTTTATTCCGCGAGTCTTACTGCGCATAGTACACCCGACGAGGACGAGGAGGTGTTACATATGAACAGCGATGTTGGCGCAGAGGCGGCGGCGGACACTGTTGATCAAGATGCGTGGGAACGGGAGATGGAAATGATGTTGGAGCAGAGAGACAGTCGCTCCCGCAGTCGGTCGTTCATTGAAATGCACAACAGCAGCGTCCGACCGCACCCACAGGTTGACAAGTTGCCGCGACCGCAATCGTTGGGAACGACAGGGTTTCGGTCGGCCCAGGTCGACGGAACCTCTCGCGCAAGGGGCGCTACAGCAGACGACGAATCCCACGATGATGATGGGTACTCGTACGACGATGAGGGGAGTGTAGCCAGGCAAGCGGCGAGATCGACCAAGTTGTACTTGGCAGGGTCGGCCCCGGTGGATTTGGACGCTATCGCCATGATGCAAGACGGTCTCCATGGATGTGGTAGCAATCGAGCTGCTCAGCACATTGAAGCAGGGCCTCTGAGCGCCAAGGCGTTGGATATCTTGTCCCAGGGGTTGGCCATGCGTGCAGACGACTCGGCCGAGCGGCGGAGCATGACAGAGGAAGAGCTGGAGGAGAAGAAGATGGCGGAAGAGGAAGCCATCAAGCTACAGCAGGAGCGCGAGATGCCTTCGTCGATTGGTGTCGTGGAGGAGGCCCCTGTCGACGTCGCGGTCGTGTCGTCCGCGATGGCATCTTCGGGCCGGGTCAAGAAGAAAGGTTCGCTGGGGAAGGCGTTCTCAGGCATCAAAACCAAGATGTTTGGCAAGAAACCCAATGGCTTGGCGTCAGATGCACCATCCTCGTCATCATCCTCGTCGAATCGCAGCTCCATCACTGCCGCCATCGGCACGTCCAGACCCGCGGGTCCGCTCGCCCATCGCCGCGCATCGTCGTCGGCCATGCCCGAGTATGCAGGCCGGCCCGGTGACCAAGCCAAGCGCAAGCCATACAAAATCAAGCTGTTGCTGCTGGGGGACAGCGGGGTGGGGAAGACGAGCCTCATGCGCGTGTTTTCTGGCGACGAGTTCTCGGAATCTATGCTTGCGACCGCGGGGTACGTCGTCCCGGCCTTGGATTCTATGTGTTGGTCTTATGGTCTTATGGTCTTATGATAATGGGGTGTAGAGTGGACTTTAAGGTGCGCAGCTTGACCCTCGAGGACGAATACGACGTGGCGCTGCAGATATGGGACACTGCGGGGCAGGAGCGGTTTCATCGCATTACGTCCAGTACGGTGTCTCATATGTAGTCATGCCTGGTTGTGCTGGACTCAGGCGCTTGATTTGTAGCGTATTACAAGGGCGCGAATGGGATCATTCTCGTGTACGACGTCGGCGACAAGCGCGGGTTTGACAGTAGGGCGATTGTTCTTGGCCTGTGTCACATATATTTATATTCATATGGGTTGCACATGTAGATGTGGGCTACTGGATGAAGAACATTCAAGAGCACTCGCCGTCCAACATGCCTGCGATGCTGCTCGTGGGCAACAAAATCGACCTGGCGACCCGAGTGATCGTCACAGAGATGGGCCAAGCCGCCGCCGATGCATATCATTGTCGATACATGGGTACTACATCACATCCATACCGTACCCAGATAGTTGTACCCTTGTGAACTAACGTCGTGGGGTTAGAAACAAGCGCCAAAACGTGTGAAAACACGTCGAATGCCCTGGAAACCATTGCACGGGATGCGCTGATCATGACCATCAACAGTACCATCTTCCTACTCGAGAGTTTTTTGCGCTAAACCGAACGACCTGTGTGTAATAGCTGTGATAACTCAAAAGGAGCTACTCGAGCGCGAACAGCAGCAGCACGGCGCCCCCCTCAACAAAGAGAACTGCGTCATCTCGTAAGAACCGAGGCAGATGCCTACTATTACACCACACAGCTGTGTGTGTCCGTCCCCATCCACCACAACGCGGCCCTTCCGTGTTGTTGTACCTATGTAACGAACCAGATATATCCCCTAAATGAACACCCCCCCTCTCGTTTGAATATAATGTATATATCGCTCCTACTAGTACTAGTACTACTACTGCTACTACTACTATGACGTATTATCCGCCAAGGAGGTGGCCAGCCACGTGGCACCTGCCAAAGCCACAAACAGCCCCACGCACAACTCGACGGCGTACGGCAACTCGATGTGTAGCCGCCCGCCGATGTAGTACGACTTGGAATGCTCCGACCCAGAAAACTACAATGTCATGTTGGCATGTCGGCAAAAGCACACAATCGTGTACCGTGTACATGCGAAGCCAGCACGCCATCCCCGACGACACGACCGTAGAGACGACCCACGGAGATATGAGCGATGTAGTGGAGGGGACGACGACGGGGGATGTGAGGTAATGGAACGAGGCGGCGAGTCCCCACGGCACTAGCCCCCACGTGAACGTGCCGAGACTTGTGGTGGCGCCTATGTTAGAAACACGCTGGGACGATTGTGGGTGTGCAGGGGGGGGTCGTACCAACAAGCAATGAACTGATGGTTTGGTCGGGTGGCAACATGTGCAGCTCTTCAATCATCATAATGTCTACGAAGAAATGCTGTCCACAAGGCCATTTGCACATGTGAGGATGATTCCTGTGACACTGTCTACTGCTAGTACCTCGTAGTTGGCCATCAAGTCGATGACAGTTCGAGCGTCCTTCATGGTCATGCCACGGCCCGTGTACAGTTCGACCATCTCGTCTTTCTCGCCTTGGGGGAAATTGTCCAGCTCCCTGCATGACGTTGCATAAGGAAATGTGACATACGAACAACGTCATCGTGACATACCACATTTCACGCCGACGTTCGCGTTCGTACTCAAAGCGTTGCTCTTCGTTGCGACGGTAGGCCAAAATGCCAGCAAACAACGCGGACGAAACGGTACTAGCCAGTGCCTGCCCAGAGATTACATGCTGCCGTTGAATCGTGGAAGATGAAAGCGGTGGACACGTACCATGCGGACTGAAAGGTACAACAATTTGGGACTTGAAGGTCCAGACAGCAATGTCAAAAGCAGCAAGTTGAATCCAATGGCACTGACCCCGGCATCAGCCATGGTTTTGAGCAACGAATTCTTCATGGAGTTCACGGCGTGTCCAGGCTCATTCATGCCACCCTCAGCCTTGCTGCATGCGCAGCTTTTATGCGCAGCGATCGACGCACTCGAGTCATGCTTCTTGTAAGCATTCCTACGTATGTAGTCATCATACACGGCAGAAGCGTCAACCTTAGCATCATACCTGGCCGCGGCAAGGTCTCGGGCGAGATCGACGGCGGCTCCTGCATTGGGTGATGTGTGACTGAATAGCCCCCCCACTGTCTGGGGGCGTCGAAGCATCGCACTTGTGTCTATTTAACGGTACAGTCGGCGCTCGTCGGTGTTCGCGTGAACGTTGTTTTTCTGGTATGCGGATCCGGATAATAAAAAGATTGAGCCAATCAAATCGTTTTCAGGTGATTGCGCAATGAGTGTCCGGATATATCCGGACGGCGTTTGGTTGCGCAATTCGATTTTGCCACGGACCTTTCCTTGAGATTGTCATTTTCAAACATCACAAGATCTCGCCACAGCATGAGTCAGTCGGGGTACAAAATTGCGGTGCTTCCTGGCGACGGCATTGGCCCGGAAGTGTGCGAGCAAGCTGTACGTGTGCTGACGTTGGTCGGGTCTCTCTTCCAGCACAAGTTTGAGTTTACCCATGGCTTGTGCGGCGGCGCTGCGTACGACGAGTTTAAGAGCCACTTGCCGCAAAGCACGGTGGACATAGTCAAGGCAAGCGATGCAGTATTGTTTGGGTCTGTCGGTGGACCCATTGATGCCCAAGAAACCCCAAAGGTATGACTTCTTTGCACGAACGACTTATGAACAAGCGAGCGTATGTGTAGTGGAAGGATGCCGAGAAGAATTGTATCTTGGGCCTTCGCAAGAACTTCAACTTGGCCGTGAACATTCGCCCTGGTAGACAAATCCCCTTCCTTCCTGAGTCACGTTCCTTACACCAGGGAATAGCCAAGATCTACGCCATGTTGCCGGACCTGTCCCCGCTCAAGCCGAGCATTGTTGCGGCGGGAGTGGACATGGTCATCGTGCGGGAATTGGTGTCTGGCATCTACTTTGGCGAACACTCGACTGAAAACGGCGTGGCGCGGGACGTGATGAAGTACTCGGAGGACGAAATCCGAGTCCCGATGAAGTTTGCGTTTGAGACAGCCATGGGTGTACGTGACGTCTGTCGTCGAGCCCATCTCATGCTTCCTCGTCGTTCGTCTAGCGCACCAAGAAGCTCACGGTCGTTGACAAAGCCAACGTCCTCGACTGCAGTCGACTGTGGCGCAAAGTGGCCAAGGACATCGCGCTCGAGTACCCGTCGGTATCTGTCGAGTTTGTGTACGCCATTATTCAACGACGATGACTACTACTATTATCACCATAATGATTCGGATTTTAGGTATATTGACAACGCCGTGATGCAACTGATCAAGAACCCATCGCAGTACGACGTTATTGTCACGGGCAACATGTTTGGCGACATCCTGTCGGACGCCGCGTCCGTCCTTCCTGGCTCGTTGGGTCTCATGCCGTCGGCAAGTCTTGGTACTACGCTTCTGTCGTGGCTTTCATCAGATGTTTTACTTGACAAAACCATTAGGCGACCACATTCACTTGTTTGAGCCCATCGGCGGGTCAGCGCCAGACATTGCCGGCAAGGGAATTGCAAACCCGATTGCTCAAATCTTGTCGGGCGCCCTCTTGCTGCGCTATTCGTTTCACGTACGTGGCTCCTTCATCGGATGTATTTATTATCATTCCAATATATATATATATATCATGATGGGTGGTTTGTAGATGGACAAGGAAGCGGCGCTGATCGAACAAGCCGTGAACAACGTGCTCGAGCAAGGCGTCCGCACCGGCGACTTGACACACGACCGCGCCGACAAAACGGTAGGCACCACAGCCATGGGGGACGCCATTGTCGCACAAATCCAAGCGCTGCACGACGCATCGGCGAGCAAATCATAATAGTCCGTCCACAAAGAATACATATCCTTCATATTGTGAATTCGCTATTAAACTTTTAAAATTCGCAGGGTTTGTCTAACGTTAAAGTCTAATTTAAGGTGCTCGATCCAATTTAAGGTGCACGCGGATAATTCCTGCAAAGGCAAAGGCAGTTTTTAACCTACCCGCCCAAAAAATATGCAAAGACTAACAGCTTAAAATGGTGCGCCTTAAATAGGACCTCTTGTTTAAGCTGCGAGTGATAATGAATTATATTAATAACAGGAATCATATCGCATTCATAACTCCCCAATAGACCTGGATTTTGGCTTCATGTAACATATTCTAGAATTATAATCCGATACCTACGGGGAAATGCGGGAACAGGACACAAACACATCACTATGAAGAATTCAAGGTCCTTGATTCCTTCAAATCGTGGTGTACCATTGTCGAGGGGATACATGCATCTTTATTCAAGTTTTCGCGTGCGAGTCAACCAGGAACTGAATCTGCCACTTCCACGGAATCAAACGACGTGTACATGCGTGCGACAGTTACATATTATTATTCGCTTGAACATGTTTATGTTGATATTTGTATTAAGTATGCGTATTTTTATTCATCTCCATAATTATTTACGTTTTGCACAAACGATTTATACATTAAGGCGCGATGCAGGTCAGCGATTTCTCAATGCATACTGCACAACGGGTCGCGAAACTCTCCATTCCTCATAAAAACAACCAATACTATCAAGAACACATTATTGCATGTCGCCTGAATCAACAGCTGTAGAGAAAGACAACTTCGAACTTGGCAAATTCGTCGTATTTCAAGGACAAGCGTGTACATGCGGGTAAGATGCCTCATGCCAGAGTGAGCTGTGTATGTGCAGACCATGCTGCATAGGCTGAGCTAGTAATGGACTATCTTGTAGTACGAGTAGTATTGCTCTAAGTATTACACAGCTCGAGAAAAGCGTCCTCAAAGTTCGTCCATTTTCGATATACTGTATGCGCATGTTGACATGTCGTCCGAGTACCACAAAAAAACATGCACAATAAAAATATTGCATCCGCAAAAGTGATGAAATATCCGGAACTGTTGTGATTTGAATGTGAAACGGCGCGAATTTTTTGAATGCAAGGCATCGCACATGCAGATAGAAAGCGTGTGAGTACAGCAGCCAATGTCCCTCTCCAACAAGTTGGATGACTGCGAGGAAACTCCAGTTTCGCTTTCGCTAATCATGAATGCCTCGATCTTGGCCTTCCATAACTTCGTGTTATGATGAGTTTTCGCCAGTTCCCGCATCTCCCAGCTCGAGTTACTTACTGTACTGTACATGCTTTTCCCGGCAGCGTCTCAGAAAAAGTGTTCTTATTGTCGATTTGATACAAATTTGGCGAGGGGGTGCAATCGAATCGCTCCGACGGAACCAATCCACAATCGATCTGATTGGTTGAATTTCATTGAGAATGTTTTGATTGGCTAATAATTTTGAGCTCATCTGAAGTCGCCAATCAAATCGATTTAAATTTCAACGAGAATCCACGCCACAACACGAAATTTCACTCGAAAGCACAATACTGTAATGTCTGTAAATTGGAGTTTTACGTTAATCAATATTGAATCATCACGCTGGAGTTCTGATTGGTTGAATATATTTGACCTTACCGTACGAGCCAATCAAATCCAAGCAAAAAAATGGATTAGCCAATAGCGTCAATATTCATGATTCGGCGGCGAGATTCGATCTAAAAATCCGCAATACGAACTGTAAGCTCGAATTCCTTGTTTCCAAAACTATGAGAACTCTAGTACGTACTACTACGTAGTATGTAGTAGTACTGTAGTACGAGGTTAGTTACTCCACCAATCGACGCAATTGATCGGTGTAGTAGTGCTTGTGGTCAATGTCCATGTCGATCAAGGTCGTGTAAATGTGTCGGCATCGCGCAGTCCGGGCGGCGGCAGAGTCGGCATCGTTACTGGACTCCAACACAAACGCGAGCGTCACCTAGGAATGAGTCAGGTACGAACGACTGAAGGCAAGGTAGTAACGGTACCCATGCCAACTTGGCGTTGGGTTCTTCTTGAAGGAGCTCCTCGATCCAAGCGATTTCATTGAGCCACGCGCTGGACTCGCCGCGCGGCATCGCCTGTAGCAGCCATCGGTAGTAGAACCAGTTGCTTTGGTCGTACGGCTCTGTGAACACGGCTTGCTTGACGACTTCGACTTCATTGAGCAGGACGGCCAGTGGAAGCGGCGTCGGCAGTGACAACGTGCGCTGATGCAACGCCGAATAGTTGGAGAAGTTTTGGTTGATCTTTCGGTCGCATAACTCAAGCAGGTCGTCGTGGGTGCCCGCCAGCTTGGACAAGTACCGACGGTAGTTCCAGCAATGGAAGTTTCGTTCGTCTTTGTCCAGCAGGGCATCGCACAGTCGCACCTCCTTGGAGATGTCGGCCATACCGTTGTCTATGATCCACTGCCGCTGGAACCACGCTGAGTAGCTCTTGGGGTTCTTCATCAACGCTTCCATCGTCAACTTGCACTCGGCTTCCCCCAACTCGCTCTTGCGACTACCGTCCGCTTCCAAGAGATGGCGAAGCACGTCGCGGCGGAATGCCCACACGATCCAAAACTCGGGATTCAACACCACCACCACCGCAGACAGCCGTAGCGCATGATCATCAAACTGCTGCGCCTTCTTGAGCGCCATTACCTGCGACGACACTTCCTTGTACTTGCGGACATGCTCCTCGATCTTGGCTTCTTCTTCAGGCGACTTGGCCACGTCCGACTTGCGGATGCCGTGCATGTTTTAACAAGGGGGGAAATCCTAATTCTGACCAAAATGTCCTCGTTTCATATTCAACGAGGTCAAAATAATCCCAACAATAAAGCCATTTTTTGCGCGATGCTATCTTCCCATGCAAGGTTGATCGCTCGACAAAGCTCCAAGGGCGATGCGCTATCGCGGGAAGGCTACCTCGAGCAGCTCATGGTGGAATGCACGAACCCATCGACTCCCGCCAAGGCGAAGGAGCAGTGCCTTGCGCATCTGGCGAACTTCAGCTACGACCCCATCAACTACACGTTCTTCCTCCGACTGAACTTGGTCGATATGTTTGTGGACTTTGTGGACGAGGTACTTCCTGTTGCCGCGCAGCTGCAACCCCCGACGGCCAGAGCATCATCAACTCAACGGCACCATGCGATCACTATCGCCCGACTCGCCATGCAAGCTATATGCAATGTTGCTCCAGACCCGCGCTTTCAGAAGATCCTTGCAGACAACGATGCGATTCCCCTTATTCTGCAAGCCACACATGCGCCAGACCCAGTCACGTGCGCAGCCGCGCTGTCTACGATGTACTTTCTTCTTGATGCCCCTTCTGATATTCTTCCCGCCGCAGCGTTGCAAGACAACGAGCAAGTTATCGGACGTATCGACATATGCGCCGAGCATGACGATGTTGTCGTTCGAAACATCGCACTCTCCTTCATCGCCCATCGAAGAGATATAGAATCCAATCGTAAGACGTGATGTTTGAATGTTTCTTTGGATGTATGGTCACTAGTATTAACAGCGTAAGTCTATTCTTCCAAGTCGGGCAAGTCCTCGTCGTCGCTGTCTTCTTCATCGGGAAGGTTCGCGCCTTGCTGGGCCATCATTTGGTTGATGTCAAATCCTCCTCCGCCGCTCAGGGCGTTCATGTCAAAGCCACTGTCTTCGCCTTCTTCGTCCTCGTCAACGTATTTGTTCCAGTCCACCTTGACATTGGTTTTTTCCAAGTGCTTGTCCTTGAGCAAGTGCGGCCAAAAGTCGGCATCCTTGTCCTTTTTCAAAATGTAGAAATGGATGTTGCGGTCGGCCTTCGCCCACTTGCTTTCGGCCGCTTCTGTGTCCACTTCGTGCAGGAATTCCAAGTTCACTTCGTACTTGGTTTGGTTGCTCGTGCCGGTGAATTTCAGGGTAGTGTTCGTCAACTCGACCTTTTCGTCCGTCACGTCCGCGAGATCGACCGTCAAGTACAGGGAGTCCTTGCGCTGTGCCCACTTCACCGGCGCCACAAGAGCTCGTTGTTGTTGCGCGGCCATGATTCGTTATCTGTCGGGGGCTAAAGTGAAAGTGACCAGCCAGTAGTATTGCACCGAATGCCCACCGTGTTTTCGAGAAAAGAACGAAATTCGAACCAGGGATTTTAGCCAATCCGAGGCGTGGGTGCTTTAGTATCCGGATCCAGATAAGACATATGTACGTAACGGCAGAATGTTGGTCGGCCACCAGCGTCAAAAGGCCATGGCCAAACCATTGGCGGTATCAAGCCACCAAGTCATAAAGATGATGCGACTGGGCTGGTTAAGTTGTAATTTAGAACCCGTCGTCGTCGCCACTTTCGTCGCCACCTGAAAAGTACTCTGCCACAGCGTCAGTGTGTGCATGTACAGGACAAGAGCGTTACCTAGTTCCTCCTCGGACGGAATGTCGTCTGCGCTTTCATCGACCTTGATTGATGTTTTCTCGGATTGTTTGGTTTCATTGGGGACTTTGGCCGGCAGCTCTGGCTCCGTGACAACGCCCGGGGTTGCCTGGCTAAGAACCGGTTCAGCTCTACCTATGCCACTCCCAAATTTCCCCTTGGTGGCTTCCGACATTTCGTCAACGTCGAATTTGTTGGTTGTGGGTGATTGGGTCAAGAAGCTCCCTTTGTCCGCACTGCCTTCGACAAACGACTCCTCTTCAAACGATTCGTCAAATTCGCTGTCATCTTTAGCCAGCTCCTCCACCGCTTGTGGCTGCTGAACCACTGGACTCGGCGACATTGCCACTGCGTCGTCCGGCTTCAATACTGTACCCGCACTGGTCGTGTTTGGTGCTACCTTTTCGTATTCGTCGTCGTCGCTCCCTTCCTTTCCTTCATCGTCGTCCTCGTTGTCGCCCTTGTCACTGCCTTCCTCTTTCTCGTCGTTTTTGGCTTCCTCGTTCCTCTGGCTAGAGTTCAATAATGTCGTGCCAGTAGGCCTCAACGTTCCTTGGTCATCGCGTTGTTTTATCAAACGTTCATGCTGACTTTGAAGGAGGCGCTGCATGAGCCGCACGAGCTGGTCTTCATTCACCAAACTTGGGCCAAACAGTTGGTGCTCCTTTTGAATGCCTGCCGCTATTTCAGATGGCGTTGCATGCAGTGTCAAGTGGGGTAACTCGACGACCGCCAACTTGAGCTGTCTTGAGATGTCTTCGTACTCCAATGCCAAGGTTGGCACGGGTCCGTACTTGAGGCCGAGGCGCTTGGGCACGACCCCCGCTGTCCGTGTCACCACCTCCATTTCGCCACAACGGTATAAGACTACGTACTGTACATGTGTAGATTATAACGACCACAGTTACTTTATAAGATACCCAAATATGTGTAAGTTTTGAAACGACTCCTGTTGAGGACACTTAGACGAAGTGAATATTCCACCTAGTTGCACGAGGAATGTGTAGCTGTCCAGGTATGTCGCCTGCCTACACAACAATGACGACGGTTTCATTGCTCAAAGTCAAATGTAACCGTGTCGCTTCAGCATGAAACAGTCTAAGACCTCAAGCGAGAAAGCAACGGCTGCAACGTCTCCCATGACCTTGACGTAGAATGAGCAGCAAGGGCGAGAAGAAGGAACTGGAAGTTCTTTGCCGCTACGTGCCTCGCATTGTGTTGTCCCAATACGCGCACTCCCGCGTAGCCCTCACGGAGCCGGCCACGCAATCGTTCACCGCGGTGATGGCGCTGTTCGACATTTCAGGCTTTTCCACTCTGGCGGACCGACTCACGAAAGAGGAGAATGTGCGACCTGTGATCGCCACTGAAGCCACGAAGCTGTCGACAAGCAACGGCAGCATTGCAAAACCCATTGACGTCAGTCGGTCCGCCAGCCATCGGCGCATCAGCCACGCCAGTGGCGGTCGCATCGACAGCGTCCATCATCTTTCCCAACGCTCCGAAAACGAGAAGCGGCATAACCCGAACAACTCGTTCTCCCTCAAGGAGAAGCGTCCAACCATGGGTGCCAACACAACCAACGACGTGGGACTCATGCGCACTGGCATGGCCATCGAGCAACTCACCAAGACCCTCAACCAAACGCTAGGTAACTACCCATTTGGCCTTCGTATGGTCTCCCTAATATTACATTCGTGGTAGCGCCTGTGATTGACATTATCACGCAATACAACGGCGACATCATCAAGGTACGACTTGGTGTAACAGATAAGATTCGGTTGTTTGAAAAAAGGTTGTTATGTAGTTTGCGGGAGATGCCATGATTGTCATGTGGCAAAGCGACCACATCCCACTCAAAACACCGACCGGTGGTGGCGCGCCAACAACCAGCCCGCCAGTTGACCCCGGAGTGCTATTATTCACGGCCATTTCGTGTGCGTTGCAAGTGTTGAAAGCGCTTGACACGTCGCAGGACGTCAAGCAAACCCACCCCCCACCCCCCACCACCGTTAGCGGGGGGCTGGGGGCCCTTAAAATGCACGTGGGCATGGGATTTAGCACCGTCACGGGAAATCACGTGGGGGGGCTCTTGAATCGGTGGGAGTTCTACGTCGCCGGGGCTGCCACCGGTCAAATGTCCATCGCAGAGGCCGACGCACACGCAGGGGAGCTCGTCGTGTCCGCCGAAAGCTACCGCGCACTGGTCGAGTCCAGCTCTGTACAGCCTATGCACATCATGGCAGAGGCGCTGCCCACGGGCAATTACAAGATCACCGACCTTCGGAGCGACGCAAATGTCAAGTACACGCTGCCGACGCTGCGCCTGGGCCGGGACTTGATTCCGCTTGTCAAGTCCTACGTGCCAGGCTGCATCGCACTGTCGCTGGGCAAAGGCAAAATTGTCATCAACGGCATGCGCTCAATCACTGCGATCTTCATCAAGTTCACGGGTATCCTCGACATTGCCGACGCCACCGAGCAGCTCCACGAAGTCCACCGATGCCTTTGCGCCGTGCAAGACGCGGCGTATCGAGTGCACGGTACATCCGTCCGTCCTGGATTGTAACTTGGAAACGGCAATGTGCACTTGTAGCTACGATTCGCCAATTCCTGATCGACGACAAGGGCGCCGTAGCCATCGTGGTCGTGGGCCTACCTCCGTTTTACCACGAGAACAACGGTTTGGAGCATTCAACACCAAGAAGTTGACGCATGTCCTTACAACTCCTTGTGTACAGCATTGCATGGGATTCGTATGGCCCTGTATTTGAAAGAAAAAGGTGTCCAAGCTTCCATTGGGTACATGTCCTACATCCAGGAGCGTAGTGTTATTACTGCACGAGTAGGATCACGTCAGGGCCGGCGTTCTGTGGAAGCATTGGCAGTGCTGTACGAGCAGAGTACGCAGTGGTGGGGGACGTGATCAACCTCGCTGCGAGGCTCATGTCGATGGCCCAGCCGGGTGAAATTCTCTGCGACGACACGACACATATGGCCACGTTAACTCGGTTTGAATTCGACAAGGGCACGCATGTGATGGTCAAGGGAAAGGGCGACTTCATCGAGGTACGCCACCCCCCACGTCACAGAGGCGTTGGTTGACTCTTGGTAGGTGTTCCAAGTGTTCCATGACGCGGTGGGCGCAACGTCGACAGAGCTGACCCCGCCGGGGGATTTCTTCATGCCGTCCGACGTGTACGACGTTTTGATCACTCGCATTCAAGAGTTTGGCACTCGGCCCGGGTACCCCACGATGCCTGGTGCCTCCGGCCCCGACACGTGTCAGAGCATCGTGCTCACAGGGGCGTCGGGGGCTGGCAAGACGACGCTCTTGCGCCACTTGGTCAACGTCCATCCGAACGTGTACTATAGCTGCGGGGACTCTGTCGAGAAAAATACCAAACTGTTCGTGTGGCGCAAAGTGATTGCCACGATCGTCTTTAGCAAGCGCCACAGCATCATCCCCGCGCCCCCTCCACCCCCCGTCGACACGGCCCAGCCAGGCTCCCCAGTCACAGCCAACCGCCGACCGTCGACGTTGTTTCGCACGGTCACGAAATCGCCGTCCCAGCTTCTCGCGGCCATGCACAAATCGTCGCTCAAGTCTCTTGGCCTCAACACCACCACGACCAACACTGACGTGGCACCACCTATGGCCGTTCTGCCAACCCCCAAGAGTAGGTCGGACGGTTTCAGCGTGTCCGAGAGTCAGAGCCACGTCGACGACGGCAGCGAAGCGGAAGAGTCCAGCAACACATTTATCGCGAGCACCACCGACTTGAACTTCGGCGTCGGGCTCCAGTTTGTGCATGCGATTGTCCAGTCCGGCCGACTGGCGGCGGACCTTCTGCCGCTCTTGAACGTGTTCATCCCGCACTGTTTTCCCGAGACCAGCCATTCGCTGTCTCTGGCTCAAAACGACGAACGATTCATGCACGAGGTGACGCAGCTGGTCGTGGCCATCCTCCGGGAAGCCAACGAGCGGCACCCGATCCTGATTGCATGGGACGACTGCCAATGGATCGACGCTGCGTCCTGGGACCTCCTCGTGCACGTGCTAGGTGTGTCCCCCAACATCACGTGCATCGTGGGGGTCCGTCCGGACGCGCCGCCGCCGCATGTCGAGTTCAAAAAGCTCGAGCAAGTCCCGCACACGCTTCGATTCGACCTCCAGAACCTCTCGGCACGGGACACGTCGTTGTTCCTTAGCCACTTTTACGGCATCGCCATCATGAACTCGTACCTGCTTGAGTACGTCCACGGTCGGTCAAGCGGTAACCCCGGCAGCACGATTGCTCTCATGCAACGGTTGTTGGAGCTTGAAACGATCTACATCGACTTGGAACGCGGCGTGGTCCACGTGCTCAAGGACATCCACGACGTGGACTTGGAGATCTCGCTGCAAACCCGGGCCAAGGTCATGCATCACTTCGACCACATGAACTCGACGAGCCAGCTCGCCATGCGCATCACGAGCGTCGCCATCGACTACATTCACTTTGACGCGCTGCACTACATGCTTCGATCCGTGTTTGCGTTCGAGTACAACAACAGCTTCACCAACGCCCCCGACACAGACCTGAATCACGAGTTGTTGCCAGCGTCGCTGTCTAGCCAGAACGCGTCCATCTTTGTGCAGGCGTTGATCGGGATGTCCCATGCTGAAACCCACGGCATCGTCGCGCTGGACCACCACAACGAAACGATTCGATTCACGTCGGACGACATGCGACTGGTCGTGTACAACGTCATGCTGCCATCGCAGCGCGAGACCATCCACCGCGTGTTTGCACTCTGGTTTGAAAACGAAGTGCCCGTGCACCGCATCCCGCGGTTCCAGCACTGCTACCACCTAGCGTACCACCTTTCCCGAGCCCACATGTACAACCAAGCGATGCATTACTTTGCCAAGGGCACTGAAGAAGCGCTGCTCCGGGGGGTGTCGGAGTTTGCACTCATGTGCTTGACGTCGGCGGGGGCGGTGCTGCTTCTCATGGACACGAGCCACAGCCGCCACGCCGCGCCGCGGGGACTCAGGCGTACGTCTAGCTCGCGCGCAATGCACGGCGGCGGAAGTGACCCCGACGACATGGAGGTGACCCTCCACCAGTGCAAAATCGAGTTCCTCACGGGACTGGTCATGGTTCAAAAGTCCGACTGGACGACCGCGGTAGACAACTTTAACGCCGCCATTGCCATCCACACCGAGTTTCGCACCCACCGCAAGCAACGCATGTGGGATAAACCAGCGCGGCGCGTCCGGCGGTGGTGGGAAGAAGCGTCCAACATGTGGCGGACGACCTACGGCGGCATCACCAAGGTGATACCGTTGGGGGTTCCCAAGAAGAACCATGGCATGCAAATCGATCCGTCGGTCGAGAAACTGCTGGACGAAGTCGAGTCGTATGTGCAAGTGGCGACCCGTCTCAAGACCAAGATCCTTCGGGTGGAGCGCGAGCGAGAGAAGACGAGCACGGCCATCCGCCTGCAAGGACTGCGGTGCATCTCGAGCATCAAGGACGATTCCATAGCCAACCTAGAAAAGACATTTGTGCTCGTTCCCAACGAGCAGACAGCCGCCAAGCAGCCAGCGATGGGACTGCCGTCCAACTCGACCAACACCAACCCACGTCATCCCCGCAAAAAGTCGTCTGCGAGTACAAAAGGGGGAGGCAGTGGCATCAGAACCAGTTCCAGTGTGACTTTCGTCGGCCAACGACCTCTACCACAACGACGCGGAAGTGAAGGCGGCGGGTTCAACGCAGTCGGAAGCAGCGTGGTCCCCGACGCGGCGCAGCAGTCCGGATCGGTCGCGCGAATACAAAACCACCTTACCCCTGTTATTTAGAAACCCAATACTGTGAATTTATTTGGTTAGACTTCTTTGTGCATGTGACGAGGTTGCTGCTTGGGGGTGAGGGACGTGGCACGTTGCATGAGGGTGGGCGTGTGGTGGCTTTTGGACGACAGCAACAGCGACGGGCTGCGGATGGATCCCGGCGTCAAAGCTTCGTTCTCATACGCCAGCAGTTCTCGCTGCTCTTCTAGTTCTGGCTGCAAGACGTCGGACGCTTCCGCGGCGGCTTGGGCTTGGTCGGCGCGCGCCTGCCAGTTGACCCGGGCTAGCCCCCATGCCAACACGACGACTTTGAACAGTTCGCCGAGGGTGTCTGCGACCCAAAATCCGTTGATGCCCCAGGCTAGCGTGATGGGCAAGAGGTAGCTCAGTGGGACGTAGATACACCACGACGCAATGTTGTTGGCAATGAGGTTTACGTCGGCCATCGACAGGGCGTTCATGGACGCCGTGAGCAGGAACCGGCCAAAAGCGACCATCACGCATGCAATAAAGAACCCCAGTGCCTTGCCGCACAGCGCAATGATCTCGGGATCGTTGCTCCACACGTGGAAGAGGTAGTTGCGGCCGCACACGACGAGGACGAGGAGCGTCGTGGCACTGACCATGATGACGCGGGCTCCTAGGAGTAGCACGCGCTTCGCTGCCGTGGGGTGGCCTTGGCCCAAGTACCGCGACATGCGAATCTGCGTCGAAATGGAGAACCCGCTGACGCATGCATTTGCGACGCCGTAAATGCCGTTCAGCACCGACATCGTGGCGGCAATCTGGGGCCCCAACAGCCCCGAAAACGCACTGGACACTGCCGCCGACGACCAATCGACCACCGACGACATACCCATGGGGACCGCCAGGGACAAGAACGTGGTCACGCGGTCGCGCTTGATGCAGTCCCACGTCCACCCGCCCCAGTACGCGACATGGTACTTCTTCCACGCGACAGTGTACAGAAGGAAGAGCGCTAGCTGGAGGTATGTGCTCGTGACAGTGGCAATGGGCGACCCAATAAACCCCAACCCTGGCCACCCGAACGCGCCATAGATGAACACTTGGTTGAACACGATGTTCAGCACCATCGTGAGCCCGCTGCAAAATGTGGCTGGCATGATCACGCCCTGGGCGGCGAAATACGACGCGCATGCGTTGTACACGAACTGGGGAATGAGCCCCAACGCCATGACGCGCGCAAACGACTGGCCGTACATGACCGTGTCCTCGTCGTCCATGGTGAGGGCAATCATGTGCCCGACAAACATGTAGTACAACATGACCGGAACGCACGTGCACACAGCAAACACGACGGCCGTTTGGAGCCAAATACCTACCAACACATTGTTCTTGGCGCCGTACGCTTGTCCACATAACGTTGGGATCGCTTGGATCGAGTACTGAATGAACGCCGACGGGACGCCCATCCACATGCTCGCAAGCGCGACCCCCGCGAGCTGTTTTGTCCCGATGTGGCCCTGGAAAGCGGCATCCGTGAGGGTCATGGCCTGGCGCACCATTTGCCGGAGGGACAACTGGATCGCCATGCTGCTCATCTCCTTGATCTCTTGCATCACAGGGATCATGGGCAAGGACATCGTCGACGCGGTAGAGTCCTTTGACGAGGTGCTGCCGTACATCTCAATTGCATTTCGCTCCTCCACTTCCTTCTTCAGCAGCGCCGAAGCTTCGTGCTTCTTGGCGGTCATGGCTTGCAATTTCAAAGTGAAATAAATGTCCGTGCCGTGGAAAGGCAAGTTGAAGTGGACGCTTTTCGGAGAGATATTTGAACTTGTGATTTGTATGGAGATGTTTTTTCACCTTGAACGGGATTCTGATCATCTATCCTGGGTTTAAGGACTCGGTCAGATGTTTTGATAGAAATGCCTAATGTATAAATTAATGCTAGGCGTTCAACAGAGGGATTAAAGCAGCCAATGGCATTGCTGGAAATTGGACAGCCAACTTCAACAGAAAATAACGAACGTTATCGTTACATAACTTTGCCACTGCGATGCCGACCACAGGCAGATCGTATCCTCGTCGTTGGTCAGGCCATTTATCTGATAGTATGCGCCAGCCAGTACAGCTGTAGCTTGAAATGCTGCGCGACTTCCGTACGGTTTAGTGATGTAGCAATCGTGCGGATGGGCAATGTTAGGTACAATTATGTTCGAGGTATGTATTAATACTCTTAATATTTACTACTAGTGTCTTTTGGTGTCGAAAAACGTGGAATCACAGCTGCTTTACACGTGTGACCAGAACAATACATATTGGCCCACTGACTGTGACTTCCACAAACAAAATTATAATATTTGTCGACAAATTATAATCCGACAACTGATTTCTGGTTTATCCCAACAGAACCCAAAACTCATGTTAACATGCATCAATGAAATATTGAGGCATTTACATGTTTGGATTGGCGGCTGATCGGGAGCGTCCGATGGCGCGACGCATGTCGTTGGGGGTGACAGGGGGGGTCATAGTCATGTTGATCGACGGGCTCTTGAAGCTCCGCGGGGTGAAGAGCAGGGCTTCGTTTTTGGCCGCGTTCAGCTCGCGGTGTTCGTCTTCATCGCCGTAGTCGTTGGCGAGGGACGTTTCCGCGGCCAGCTGGGCTTCGTCGGCGGCGGCATGCCAGTCCAAGCTGGCCATGTCGTAGAGCAAAATGGAGGCTTTGAGCAGCTCGCCCAGCGCGTCCGCCCACCAAAATCCGGCGAGGCCCCATCCCAATCGAATGGGAAACACGTAGCTGAGGGGCACAAAGACCAGCCACGACGCAATGTTGTTGGCCACAAGGTTCAAGTCCGCCTTGGACACGGCATTCATGCACGCCGTGAGCAGGAACCGGCCGAACGCGACCAAAATGCACAGAGAAAACGCGGCGATGGCGTCGCTGGCCATGTCCGCCACAACCACGTCGCTGCTCCAGATGCCAAACAACAAGCGGCGACAGGTTACGACCACCGCCAGCAGCACCACCGCCGACACAAACACAAGACCGGCGCCAATGAAGTAGACGCGCTTGGCGTTGCCAGCGCTGCCTTGACCAAGGTATCGACTCATGCGGATTTGGGTGGCAGTTGCGAATCCGCTCACAAACGCACTCACGACGCCGAAGAGACCGTTCAGCACAGCTTGACACGCGGCGATATTGGGCCCCAAGTAGCCGGAGAACGCCCCCGCCACGGTAGCCGACGCCCAGTCCACCACGGCGGACGCGCCCATGGGAATCGCCAACGCCAAGAACACGTCGAGCCGGTCCTTCTTGACACACTCCCACGTCCACCCGGTGCCCCACGTCGGCGTGTGGTACCCCTTCCACACAACCGTGTACAGCAGAAACAGCGCCAGCTGTAGCACGGTGCTGGCGACGGTGGCCAGTGGCGACCCCACGAACCCGAGCCCGCCCCATTGTCCGTCCACCCCGTGAATCAGCACTTGGTTCAGGACAATGTTGAGCCCCATAGTGACGATGCTGCAGATCGTGGCAGGCATGATGATCCCCTGTGCTGCAAAGTACGCCGTCAACGCCCCGTACACGTACTGCGGAATCAACCCTAGCGCCATCACGTGCGCAAACTCGCGTCCGTACGCCACCGTTTCCGCGTCGTCCATGGTGAGGGCGATCATGTTGCCCACGTACATGTACCAGATCATGACAGGAATCGACCCAAGCACCGAAAACACGATGGCCGTTTGGAGCCATACGCCGACGAGGTCGTGGTTGCCCGCGCCATACGCTTGCGAACACAACGTGGAGATGGCCTGGATGGAGAACTGAACGAAAGCCGACGGCACGCCCATCCACATGCCCGCCAGCGCCACGCCAGCCAGCTGCTTGGTGCCAATATGTCCTAGGAACGCGGCGTCTGTGATGGTCATCACCTGACGCACCATTTGTCGGAGGGATATCTGCAGCGCCATGCTAGCTACGTCCAACGTTTCCTGGCCCAGAGGCACCTTCGCTTGACGCGCATGCTTTTGGAGAGGATCTCGGGCCTGCTTGAGCTCGACGGAAGGCGCACCGCCCTTGAGCAGTGGAGACTTTTCAGCGGCCATGGCGAATTTTCTTCAAATGCCACACTTCACACAAACCACTTCCATTTTTGCCTTCTATGATACGTCGGGTATTTAGGTATTTGCGACAGGATTCACAGGCACAAAACCGGTATATTTGACCTCATTCACCGGCCGTCGGATATACTTGGGCACTTCTACTGTATGTTTACGGACACTAAGTATTTGGGTTGGCCGGAGTGCCATAGAAGTGGATCGAGCACCTATTGTACTGTACAGTACTGTACAGTACATCGTGGGGCAAGCTGGAGCAGGTCAATCAATATTCATAACGTTAACGTTACTGGTACAGTGAACGGGGAAATTTAAGCCACACCTCGAATCGAAGTAAATCATATTATTGGAATATGATTGGAGGGCCTACTACGAAGTTCGATGAATATTGTGACCATTGATGTTGTTTTGACCAATGAATTTTGTTTATGTGTGTTTCTGCATGGTGATTGGCTTTAATATCTGATGAGTAACTTCGGTGTGGCTTAAATTTCCCATTGACGCTAACACTTTGAGCAATCACGCTGATGATTGTGGGGCTAGCCTCTCAGCTTGTCGAACGCTAGCGCGAATGAAGTGAGTGTTCTCGATGGTCACAACCTGTAGTGTATATATATGTATACTATGATACGTGGTCGTCAACAAAGCCTGTTTTGATATATTGATTGCATCACGTTTTCATTCCCTTGTACACCCCCCCCCCCTCCCACCACGAGGACTAGACTCGGTTGGGCCCCTTCTCCGGCTGCGGCTCGTTGGACACCCTCGAGTCTTCGTCATTGCTTTTTTGCTGCGTGAGCTTCCTTCTGCTGCTGATGCGAAAGCTTCGGCGCGCACTGTTTTGCTTTCCCACAGGTTTTGCCTGTCAAAACAATGATCATCACACGGCAACATGGACAACCAACTCATTACCTCAAGCAAATGCACAAACTCGCTGTAGTTGATCGCGCCGTCCTTGTCCACATCCGCGGTGCGAATCATGTCCTTAACAGACGCCTCGTCGAAATCATGACCGAGTACACCTACACATGCCAGCACTTGTGAATACAACTACACTCCATGACGTAGCAATCCACTTATAAAACGTACGGCCGAGCGTGAGCTCTGTGATGCCGCCCTTGGTTTCATCCGGACTGAACAGCCCGTACGCCTTGCGCAGTACCTTTTCGCCTTGGAGGTTGACCGTCATGGTAGCCGACACGAACTCCAAAAAGTTGACTTGGTTGGAGTTTTCAATGTCCAAACTGCATATAGCAAACATTCAATAACCAAGACTAGACAACCCCCCCAATACAGTAATACTGTAGTATCGTACGTACCTTGTAAAGATCTTTTCAAAATCCACAGTCGGGTACTGGTCCGTCAAGGCCGCCTGCTCCAAGTCCTTCAGCGTCAGCACGCCATTGTGCAGGACATTCAGTTGGTCAAAGGCTTTGCGGATAGCTGTGGTATCGATCGAAGGCGAGCAAAAGGCCACGGCCAACAGCGCTACAACGACGTTAGCACACATCGGTCCTCTGGACGCCGACGGACGGACGTACCCGCTCGCTTCATGCGACTGTAAGACGCATACTCGGACAGTTGCGCAATGATCCGATCGATGCTACCACATAAACAGTATGAGCATATTGCAAATAAAGAACAAGCCACCACGTACTCTTGCGTCGGTAGGTTGTTGGTCTTGGCGCTGGCAATCCACGGGTGTCGTAGCACTTGCAGTGACGAATACCGCTCGGTAACATTCGGCTACGACAGTCGACCACATAGGTTTTGTCAGAGTTCCAAAGATAATAATATTGTATATATTCGCTCTAAACTTTTAAAATGCGCGTGGGGGTTTGTCTACTCAAAATATAGAATCATCACGTGGGAGTTTTGATTGGTTGAATATACTTGTCGGTTCTGTAAGAGCCAATCAAATAATCCACTCAAAACAATTGGATTAGCCAATAGCGTCAATATTCGTGATTCATTTCGGCGGCGAGATAGTCCATTCGACGGGGTCTGGAAATATGTACCGAATATACAATATATATCAGTACATATATGCCCACAATACATCATAGTGGGGTTGCCAAGGTAGAACGTACGTTGAGGAGCTTCTTAACGAGGCTCTTGGCTTCGACCGACACGTCCGCCCACACTTCGTCTTGAAACGATAGCTACACGTAAGCAAAAAAACAATGCCATGACCATTGTAAGCAAGACCCCATTGTAAAGCAATCCTACGGGTCTGTCTGTACACTACCTTGGCAGCAAAGATGGACTCAATCAGGTCTTCCTCCGTGTTGCCATGGAACGGCATGGAATTACTCAGGAGCATGTACTATTTAGGTAGAGATCATGTTCACATCGTCATGTAAGACCCCCTTGGTACCATCACGACCCCCAAACTCCACATATCGCAAGCCTATCAACCCCATCAGCCAATGTTGTTGATCGAAGGTGCTACGTACTTGTGTGTACTGGCCTTCCAGAAACTCGGGCTATGAAAAAACAAGTCAGACACGCGCGACGGAAGCGGCGATCTCGTACCGCCATGTACACGACCGACCCCAGCACCGTCTGCATGAGGACTCCGTCGCGGAACAGCGTGCTCGCCCCAAAGCTAGGCAAGGACGTATATGTATTTACTCATCGTGTGGACGAGATGAGGGGGAGAGACAGACGTACTCGCACAGCTTGACGTCGGACCCGTCTTGGTCGGTTTCGTACAGAATGTTCTCGAGCTTGATATCGCGGTGGCAAATGTTCTTCAAGTGCAAGTAGTAAATGCTCGACGTGAGTTTGCGCACGATTTCCTTGGCCGCGTCTTCGGGGAACGCCTGCTTCCGCGTCTTGACCGCGTTCAGCATGTGCCCCCCCGTGCACAGCTCCATGATCATGTGGATGTGCGTCGGAGACTCGTACGTTTCAACCAGGCGGACAATGTTCGGGTGCTGGAGCCCTCGCCACAAGTTGATTTCGTTCCGAAGGACGGATACCTTGGCATTGGGGCCGATCGTAATCACCTAGTGTAGGTACATGCGTTCATGACGTGGCAGGTCCTATACGCGCGCTCACCTTCATCGCGTACTGGTCGCCCGTGGAGATGTTCTGCACGAGGTTCACGACGCCGAACGCCCCCGTCCCAAGCTCCCGAACGACCTTGTAGTACGCGAAGACATCCAAGCCTTGGTGGTGCTGCGATAGGTTCCGCAGGAACGAGTCAGGTAGGCCGCCCGAAGCATCGGTCGATTGCATGCAGCCCATGATGATGCAAGTGACGATGGTATAGCGTTTAAATGGGTGCCAGTTGGGGTCAAAATAAAAATTACTAACACAACTTGGCTTTAGTATGCAAAATCCACCAAAATGATTAAATTACTCGCACTTATTTTTAGACATACGAGAGTTTCAAGGGAAACGAAGATGTCAGGACCGGTATACTAGTAGTAGTACTAGCACGACGATCGTCGGCATTAACGGAACATGCCGTTATGCCACCGCTCTCACACAAGTCACAACCCATTAGAAGCTTACACGTACTGGACTGGAACAGGTCGTGGATCCATTGCAATTCCAGCAATCTCAGGGATTTAGTAATACTATTAATAGTACATGTAGTAGTACTGTACATAATACTCCGGAGTAACGTCAAATAGAATTTATCACACCCACCCACCATTACTTCAAAGTAATTTACACTTAAGTTCACTATCAACCTGGTTTGAGTAAGTTGTAATACCAGTCCCACTATACATACGTAATCATTTCCCTTCTAAAGAACCAGTTGGTTTACACTGCATTTGACTATCGCATAATAAAACCAAGTGGAACTGGTGCTCTCAGGGATATTTGCTGATTATACAGTCAAATGATGACAAAATGTGGTCGATTTCTGACTCGATTTCGTTCTCTGAATATAAATATATCCATTTACACAGGTGTTTGAGTTGCTACAACATTATATATGCGCTTCACTGTTGTTCTTGTTGCTTGCTGCCTGCCTGCCTGCCTAGACATGGCGATAGCTACCGCTCGACATGGTGCCAGCCACGAGGACTCTACTGCTCCGTGGATCAAAGGTGGCGACACATGCCGGTTCGTTCACAGGGAGTGCTCTGCGAATCCCATGTTTAGGTCGGAATACGTCAGGTACGCCATGTCGACGATCCTTTCTGCATGATTGGTGTGTGTCAACGACCTGACGCTTGTGGTAGAAACAATCGGTCAAGTGGACACAAGGTACGGTGTGCTTTGCCACGATCATTTCATTGAGTTTCCTTGTCTAATCCGTGTGTCTTGCGCCGTCCGTTCCTCCTCTAGAACGTCAGGTACGCGGCGGCGTCCGTCGTCTGCATGTTCATGAATGACGATGGTGTAGGTGCTTTCCGCATTGTTGTGGCGCCCACCGTGAAAGCACCTTTTGCGGGTCCTCCATCACCGTCCAATGCACCGACCATCAAGTAATGGTGTATGGACGCTTTGAAGAAGCCGACGACAATGCTCGCATGCAGCCCCATGTGGCCATTGGCACAATACTAAAGCTGTCTGACATTCTCGGCGACGAGAAGACGGCCGCTAGTCCGTTTGGGATGTGGATGGTCGGTGCATCCGTCGGCAACCACCATTACGAGATCAACAAGAGCAAACTGTCTTGGCACTATGGTTGGGTGTCGTCGCGGTTCAACAGCAAGACGTTGCATCGCTTCCAGGTCGGTCCGTGCAGCCTTCGAAGACCACACACACTCACAAGTGTTGGTAGGTCTACGTCTTCCAGCAGACGACGCCCCAACAAGTGAGATGCGTGGCCAAGTTAGCGTCGCCGTCGTTCTCGCTCTGCTCCAGCCGCAAGACGCGCAAGAAGGCGGCGCTAGTGATCATCCCCACCAAAGTCGAGCCGGTTGCTTCTTCTTCGTCGTCGCCCCCACTCGCCCTAGTCAAATCGGAACCACCGGCACCCTACGTCCGGATGCTGCCCCCCCCGCCACCCATCAAGATCGAAATGCCATCGTTTGAGTCGTTTCTTCGCCACGAGCCGACGCGACCTCGAACATTTTCAGGCATCGACCAACAAGAGCACGCCCCCAAGCGACTCAAAACCAACACGTCGGTCGACGACTTGCAAGCCGTCAAGCCGTCCGCTCCGGCGTCGCCGACCCCCTCCAGCAGTAAGTCCGCCCTGCTTATAAATGTTCCTTGGTGATTTCGCCACTTGAGCCGCCATGCATGTATGGTCCTTTTACCCAAGATGTTGGATTGTAAGCACACACTAATTTAGGTCGAACACTAATTCGAGATGCTGGTGATGGTGTTCTGCAATCTGATTGGCTCAATACGTCTGCAGATATGATTCTCGTGTCCATTCGTTTGGTTGTGTTGATATCAGATTGTGGATTCGATACGAATTTCCAATCCCCGTCGAATCGAATCACGAATAGTGACGCTATTGGCTAATCCAATATTGAGTGGATGATTTGATTGGCTCTTCACAAAGGACAAGTATATTCAACCAATCAGAACTCCAGCGTGATGATTCAATATCGATTCGACAAACCAGGCGAATTTTAAAAGTTTTTTATAGCGAATAAATCACAAAAATCACAACAATCCTAAATCGTTTGATTCTTGCTGTAGCGTTCAGTTTCTCGAGCTTTATGAACCCATTCCCCCATCCCCACAACGCCCCGTCGTCGCCGGTACCGTCGACCTCCAATTCTTGTGGTATGTATGCACCTATCTGTTTATCGATATCTGCCTGCTTATTCGTCGCTGACTCCTATCGTGTGGCTATGGGTCGAGCGTAGCGTACAGTTTTTCCAGTTTTACACGTGGCGGCAACGAGTGCAAACCTTCGTCGCCAGTGCCGTCGATTGCTCCCTCTAGTAATACTAGTTACTACCCCGTTTCGATCGCGTTACTTATGTGTGTGCATCAGCATTTAGCTTTTCCAGCTTTCTACCGCCCAAGGCATGCGTGGGGCATCGTCCGCATAAATGCCCCAACTCCCCCAAACCCACAGCCCCGTCGTCGCCCGTGCCGTCGTCCGTGCCTTCTGGTGGTACGACTACTAGTAGTACTACTATTAGTAGTACTCACTAATGTTGTAGTCGTGACCTTGTTCTCGGACCTGATCAAAGACGACTACTGCCGGATGCTCAAGGACTGCCCCAAGCAGCAGCGCGTGTCTCGGTACGACTACATCGACCGCGCCATGTGTTTGAGCCAGATCCACGACGTGGCGTCGTCAATCATCTCATTCGCGTCGCTCGACGGCACGAGATGGGACGACTTGGCTGAGGCCACGTCGCCCCTCCACGGGTTCATGGTCCGATCTGGCGAGTGGGAGTCCATCTCCATCTACGAGTGCCGGCCGCGCACCCACGACACGGACGACTCGTACGACCACGTGCTGACGTTCTGCCTCAACGCGATGCGCCACTGCATCCGCACCGGCATGATCGCGCGACTGCGGTCGTTTCTGCATTCGCACGCGGCGTCTATCTTCAAGCCGGAGCTGCTGGACCAAGCGTACGCAGACATTATCGTGTTCTTTGAGCAAGAGATCGAGAGCTATGTATTTCCAAGGAAACGCATGCAATGCGCGGCGTTCCTCGCGTACTTGCGCCGCAACTTGCCCCTCGAGTTGGTATCTCAACTGGGTACGCCACCAGTTGTGTACATTCAATCCAAAATCGGGAGGATGTATATATATATATATATAGTGTCCTTTCCGTAAAAATTAAGATGTGTATTCTCCCAACCCCCATCGATTGATTGTTTGGATTGCATGTCTGTATAGGTTATGATTGAATCATGTGTACGAATAATCACACGAATTGAAGTCCCATACATCTTGGATGTGATTTGGTGCTTTTCTGCAACTTGATTGGCTCAATTGTTTAATATTGTCGATTTTCGAATAACCCAACAACATATATTGTGCTTTCGAATGTGGTGGTGTGTGGTTTCTCGTTGGAATTTAAATCGACTTGATTGGCTACTTCAGACGAGCTCAAAAGTATTAACCAATCAAAACCTTGTAAATGAAATTCAACCAATCAGATCGATTGTGGATCGGTTTGCACGATTCGATTGCACCCCCTCCCCAAATTTGTATCAAATCGACAACATATCATATTTATATATCCTCAGATGCATCATCTTCTTCCGACGAGTCCTCCGACAACGAACCGCTGGGGTACTTTGAACTGGTAACCCAACTCCGCCAAGTATACCAATTCGTCAAGTCGGAAGAGCAGCCCGTGGACATGACGCCGTCGTTCGTGTCGCGAACATGCGTGACTGGCCGATGGCGGCGGGTGCAAGCGCCCACCCATTCTAGCGCGTCGTGGCTATTTCGGGTCTTGGGCTCGTTCATACTACTGCATTGGACGCTCGTGGAAACCCCCTCAGAGCTCTTGGTATGTCCAAACTATTGTCTATTATGCATGTATATATAGATAAATATATATACATACAAGGTATTTATTAAAATGGTAGATGAAATTCGACGAAAGTCTAATTCCGACGCTGACCCCGTATTTGCTCAACGGCGACCCCATGTTTTTGTCCTTTTCGCCCATTGGAATGAGCACGGGGGGCATGCAAGGCCGGGCCATGGCGGGTAATAAAATGTGATCTCGAGAAATTTAAATATATATATATATATATATATATATATATATTGAAAATGCTGTTGTAGGGTACAAAGCGTGGCGCAACGACCAAAATCAAATTGTGATCCAATGGCACAACTGGCCTCGCGGGGAAAAATGTATTCGTCGGCGGTACTCTCGAACGCTGTACCGGTCGGATACGGACCCAGACATACTGTGCTCGCACATGATCGTCGAGGTATTATTATAGAACCAGTCAAAAATAATAAATTTATTTGGTTGATAATTATTATTTTGTAGGAATCAGGCACTATCGGGCATAGCTTGAAGTCGTTTTCAGAGTTGAATTTGTCCGAGCGCATCAATTTTCCAGGCGAGTGGCGGGTGATTTTGGACGAAGACTCGACGTTTGTGCGCATCAAAGATTGACCAGAGGGGTGGTTTTAGTACTACTACTACTAGTAGTCGATCGGTGGTCTCCTACTCCTTACTCGTGTGGTGGCCCAAACTCCCACGCGGTCGCATCGTGGTCTGCGCGCTGCTGTAACTTTAAGTAATATCGAGTGCGCTCTGGTGGACTGTACGTGGCTTTCTTGTCGTTGAGCATTTGCATTTTCAGGCGCTCCATGGCGGTGTACACGTCCTGGCCATGGCGCGAGTCGGCAATGCGGCGCTGTCTCATGGCGTGCACCGAAGCTCGGGCGGCTTTGTCGCTTGCGCTGACGCTGGGCGAAGTTGGACACGGCCCAAATCTTGAAGGGCCGTCAAGAAAATTGGATGAAGGATGGTGGTGTACAGGACTTACTGGTTGGATTCCACGTGAAACCTCGTCGTGGCATCAGCTTGACAAGCGTTATGTTTGCTCGCGGGACCGCTACGCACACACGATATATATATATATATATGTCTTGGGATGATTTTTCCATTATAGGCACGATGCAAAACGGTGGACTACTACTGTACGTGATGAGTAGTCGCGTGTCGTAGTGGGGCGTGCGGCCCCGTCGAGTTGGCGCCCGCACTTTTCTAATACTCCACAATCGACATGGGGTTTAGTCGATGCGAGGACGAGGCGTGCATGTATATATCTGAAACTACTAGTACCGTCGGAGTTGGTCGAAATTGTACTTGAGTTTGCCTTTGGTCGAGTCGTCTTCGGTCCAACTACAAGTTGAGACGGACGCGAGTGAGAATGATATGGGACGAGCCAAACTAGCCACAGACAGACAGGGACCTCGTGAGACGAGGAACGGAAGCCAAGTGCAGCTGCACCGTCTTTTCACACGCGTTCAAGTGCGCCGACAGTTCCTGGAACGTTACGAGACCGTTCTTGTCCTTGTCCACGTCCGTCATGAGGTGGTGGAACTCTTGCTCCGTCAACTGAATGCCCTTGTGCTTGAGCCCTTGCCGAAACTCGGCGTACGACAGCACGCCGCTCTCGTCTTCGTCCATTTCTCGGAATACGTCTGCAATGCGCGACTTGTACGCTACAACACACACACGTCCATGAGCACTCGTCGCGGGTGACGCGTGATCACTTTTGAGTTTCTGAAACACTCGCTCCGCCACTTCGACCGCCGCGGCGTCTTCCGTCGCATCCCGCAGCAACTCGACCGCGTTCGACATCGCGCCGGGTTGGACGATTGGCGGTGCTGTTCCCACTATAGCGGACGACTTGAACGTCCGATTCCGTTCAATGACGGCGGATCGGTCGTGGCCGTCGATTTGCGGGCCGTCGAGAAATGCGTTGAATTCGGCAAAGTCCAACGCCCCGTCCTTGTCCACGTCGTAACTAAGACAACATCAAACAAGACTAGTCAGAGCAGAATAGGACATCCCGACAGCAAGGCGTACGTACGTGTGCACTAGGTCATGGACGACACTGGGTTCCACCGCCATGTGCAGTTTGGCCAAGTTGTGCGCGAGCTACGAATGCCAATCAACACATACTCAACCAACAGAGAGGGGGGGGGAGGAGCACCATGGCAGGCGTCAAGTGGCCAGCTTTGGTGTCATCCCACGTTCGAAAGACCGTGGCAAGGGACTCCTTCTGCAGCCACAACACGACGTGATTCGTACGAATTCAGGTCGTTCATTCGTACATCGTATCGCTTGCGCAAGATCGAGATGGTCTCGCGGGTGGTTAGCAGTGGCGGCACTTGCCGGTGTTGCAACTCGTTATGCTTGGCGTTGCCATCGACCTCTTGCCACCGACAAAAGTCGGCCAGCGCCACGAGTCTGCCCTCGCCCCATTGTTTGTTTAGCTCGGACGTACTTACGCTTGGGCGTACATACCTCGTCGTTGGGTGCACGACGCACTGGAGCACGTGGGCGGTGGCGTCGTCGCCCAGCTTGGCCGCCCACCCCATGCTCGTAAACATATCTCGACATTGTTGTTCCGAGACCACGCCATCTCGATCCGTGTCCCACGTCAAGAAGGCAGATCGGAGGGCTTTGGCTGGGTCGTCGTCCTGAAGCAACCGATGGAACGACCTCAACGCCGCTGCGTCTTCGACACTATGTATTGCACCCACGTATGAGTCGACGATACAATAAACAACCAACCCAGAAGACCTGTGACGTGATGGCGGCGGCGGGGAGGGTGCAGCCGTGGGGGACGGACTCGACATGGCACTCCGCCGGACAACGGTCAAGGCGTTAGCTGCCGTGTGCGGTCGCTTGGCCATTTGGCGGGGGGTGATGGGGGGCTACAAGGCAAGGCTGAGACATCGTTGACAGTGTTCAAACGGTACTTTGAGGGCGGAACCAGGTCGTGTAGGTGGCGCTGGCTGCTGGGGCGTTGAGTCCTCGGACGGGATCAAGGTCGGCTTCATAGCAACTGTCGGCAGGATCTACCGAGTGGATCCCGTTACACTACCTTTGGAATGCACCAAAACTTCAAGCATACCTCGACAGTGCCTTGGTCATATTGATTGGTTTTGGACGTTCTACCATGGGGTACATATACACATGTCATGTACGGTCGTGGTGGCGATGGAATGCTCACAGGGATGAGGGCAATGGCGAAGGCGACTTTTGTGCCAGGAGGAGCTTGCGCGGCGCGGCAGTTGTCGGCCGAAGACATCGAGGCGACGTGAGTCGCGGGGACAGAAGGTGACTGGGTGGGTGCACCCGGTTACTGCTCCCTGTGTCGTGGACGCGGACCTTGCACTTGTTGGTCATCCTGCCATCGTATCGGCAAAACTCCGTTCAAAACGCTCGATTATGTCTATTTTAAACCTCGCTATCCTAGCAAAATAACTAATCATTTTCGTGGGCTTATGCATCGTGGTCGTGGGAAAGCGCGTCGATGGCGGCGGCAAACGTGGCGCAAGTCAAACCCGTGAGGAAGGAAGTTCGCGCAGATACCCGGGTCCCAGGGCTTGATGTGAGGAGTAGGCCAGATGCAAACCCACCAAGAAACGTATTCAGCGGGTCCTTTTGACCGCGCAACTTTTCAGCCGCACACGAGACACCTCCAAATGTACCGAGGAACATGGTGAACGCCACGCAGTTCTTGCCGGTGGAAGCGAAAAGAAAGCGAGGGTTCAGCGGCACTTTGCCCTTGCTAACGAGACCGAGATGCTCGTACGTGTCGATGGAAACGGTCCACAGGACGCCAGTCATCATGCCTCGATACACCAATTGGGCCAACCGCGCATCGCAAGTACCAGTTTGAGTCATCCAGCCGTCTGTGCATGCACAAAAAATCAAGATTTTGCCTTAAAATATCGCTCAAAACGATGAAATTTGAGTCTAAATCGACAGCAAATTTGTCTTTTTTGCGCCAAAATTAATATCCCAGACGTCCCGAATTATTCGAAAATTGGAAATACCGTAATATTTCTATTGTTTGCTGAAACGTTGAAGTGGGTGAATACCCTGGGTTGAGAAACCACAGTTTCAAAATGACGTCTTCATTCTTGCATTTTCCCTTTATTTAACGACGGAAGGATGGCGTAGCATCAATGCAATGGACTGCAGGAAGTATCGGTGGACAAAATATGGACCAATCAAATACCGAGGCTGGAGTGGCAACAACTTCAACTCATGTATACGAAAGATCGAACGTGACAAGGTAACGTGACAAGGTGTTGGCATTTGCACTTTTACCATGGACAAACCAAATGAAAAGACAAGCTTGGTCAAGAAGAAGCTTGGCAGCAATGCCGAGATCGAAATGTACGGCCGCGGGGGTAATCTGTCCGTGAATGATTTCCACGACGACAACGACGACGATGCCGCCAAGAAGCACGACCTCATTCCTGTTAAGCAAGAAGCCATGGAGCTGACGAGCATGGCGTTCCAGCTGTCCCTTCGACAAGTGGTGCGTCAAGTGATGACGATCACGGACGCTGCGTTCCAAGGCCACATTGGCACGAAACAGCTTGCGGGGGTGACGTTGGCAGGCGTGTACATGGGCGTGCCGTCGGCATTCATCCAAAACGCCATTCCGTCCATCAGTACGTTGTGCAGTCAAGCGTACGGCGCTGGCAACAACACCCTCGTGGGGGTCTGGCTGCAGACGTGCATCGTGTTCTCTATCGTCGGGACCATTCCCGTGATGGTGTACTACATGTTTGTCGGGCACATCATTGCGTTGACGCTGGACGACCCCGAAGCCGTCGGGTACGGCCAGAAGTTTGCCATGGTCATGTCGTTGGCGCTGATTCCGCAGTACCTGTACGGGTGCTTGACGACGTACTTTGCCGCCCAGGGGGTGATCATGCCTGCCACCGTCTGCAGCGGTATCACGGTGGTGCTCAACATTGTGTTCAACCAAGTGTTCATCTACGGCGCGTGCGGGTTCGACGGCCTGGGGTTCATCGGGTCGCCCATCGCCACTGTCGTGTCCAGTTGCTTGCAGCTGTTCATGTTTGTCATGTACACGATCTGGTACAAGCAGTACCATGTCAAGTACTGGGGCGGGTGGACGTGGGAGTGCGTGAGCAAGGAGCGGCTCGTCGTGTTCCTGCCGCTGGCCGTGCCCATGGGGGCGTCATCCGTGGTGGACTGGGCATCGGCGGCTCTCACGTCGGCCTTCTCGGGCATCTTGGGCCCCGAGATCGCCGCTTGTCAAGCTGTGCTGAACGGGGTGTGGGGCGTCGTGAATTCGTTCGTGAGTGGATTCAGCACCGCGACCCAGATCCGCATGTCGCGGTACCTTGGCGAGGGCAGCGCCGTGGCCGCCAAGCGCGTGCTCACAGTAGGCGCCATGATTTTGTTTGGGACAGGGCTGTCTCTGATTCTCGGCGTGTTCTTACTCAACGAGTCGCTGTTCCGCGTGTGGAGTCCCGATCCAGTGATCATCGCCATGTGCCGGTCGGCGTTGATAGTGTTCTGCTTGTGCATTTCCGTAGCATTCTGTCGATTCATGATGACAGCGTGCTTGAACGCGCTGTCCATGTCGAACGTCAACCTCATCGCCAACAACATTGCGTCGTGGTGTGTGTACGTGCCACTGAGTTACGTCTTGCCCATCACGTTGGACTGGAGTTTGGCCGGGTTCTGGTGGGCCGATGGGTTTGGGGAACTGGTCAAAGCGATCATCTTGATGTGGGGCCTCTGCCGCGTCAACTGGGCCGCCGCCGCCGACTATGCGCAGAAGTCGGCGTCTGTCATGGACACGACCAACGCCGCCGACGAAGAGAAGCGTGAGCTGCTCGCGTATGAGAATGAGGCGATGATGACCTCCCAGGCGTACAAGAGCCCTGTGATGCAGTTCGGGTCGGCGCCCCACCACACCCCCAGCGTCATGAAGCGAGCGATGTCACTGACTCCAAAGATGCAACGGCGATCGCAACAAGGGGATATGGTCAACGTCTAGGACCAGAGTTGCACTAGGCAACTCGTACGTACATTTGTCATATAATGATTGGCTGCGGTGTTTGAATGGTGAGCATCCACCACCCAAGACGCTACAGTACATAGGGCTTCCGTTTCAAAGCGACTTTTGTTCACAGTGAAACCTTTGTTAGCTAGCTTGGACCAAAGAATTTTCAATGTAACGTTCCCTAAATACTAATCATTTCTCGAGTGACGTCAGTACTAACACAGCAACTTACTCGCATACGCTTCATCAGGTGTGCAATGCGTGCCGCACTGCCATGACGATGTCATGGTGTTTAATTGTATTGCGTTGTCGACACAATTACTGTAACACTCTTACTCAACCAACCATTGGTCGTCCGTACGACAACATATGGTCAGACTACAACATCACTTTGTACTACTTGGAAGTAATAATAGGATCGTAAAGAGTCGTGGCCACTTGGTACCCACCGAGCCAAGCTAGCAATGACGCCCCAGCCCCTCCCGCAGTCCCGTGTTGGCCGTCCGCGGATCCTCCAAATCATGTCCTCCAGCGTCCTTGGCTATTTGTTCGAACACATGTGACACAGCAATTCACAGCATTGGTACAAACATGTGACACGTTTTCTGAATTTCCGTTCTTCCACACATCGTGCACCACGCCCCTCCCACCAATGCCACCCCCAAGGAGGGTGCATGGAACTGTTCCACCCTCGTAGCCTCGAAGCACGTGCCCCCCCTCTGAGCGAGCCCGCGCGTTTGACCGTGCGGAAAAGCGAGCAGCCGCGCGGTACTTGATCCAGCAGCAACCTGCTCGGTGTGTCAAGGACGCCCCCACGACCTGGAACAGCTCCCCAAACTCCAAGCGCGTGATTCCTGCACGTGCATTAGTCGCACCCCCTCGCCGTCCTCTCGGTCGATCTGGCGAGAGAGGCGCAGCTGTAAGGCTCGTCTGTCTGTACATATCCCTGCAAACACATAAATTATACCACGACCATATTGTGCTGCACATGTGGTAGGTTGTCGTGCAATAGCTGGTACATGGGGGTGACGACGATACATGACAAAAGGCTTGTATAGGGACATGTATAGATTGGCCTTGTGCGTCAGTCTACAGACTCTGCCGACGACGAATGGCCCACAAATCGTTGTGCAATCTTTATTTCACCATCGGTAGTACGACTTAACTACACACACGCAATCCGACCAAGCGTGCAGCTTCGCGCACTTGCAGTCCGTGGCACTTTTGCCCACATGGATCTCTTGTGTTAACTACGCACCTTTGTGCCAACCGTCACCGCCTTACATGTAAATCACCACGTTTCGGATCGCTGATGGGCTCAACCCTGTTGATGTACGGTACAGTATATCCTTAACTGTTGGATAACTCAACAAGAAAAGTCCAAGAGGAACCACCACAGTACATATGTTTTATACACCCAGAAGATCGATGGATCGCTCGATCGTGCTTGCTGGTTGTCTGACAAAGGTCGTGTGCCATCCGACTACAATTTGGACCCAATCAGTTCGACAAACTTGAGAGAGAGCAAAGCAAGTCAGGCTACCTCCTGGTTGTTGCGACCACCATGCGATCGTGGACCTGGGGGGGAATGAACTGTCTACTGCATCACTGGCATTTGCACTGACGGGCCAGCCCAATAAACGATGCATGACAACATCGTCAGTCATGTTGAGATGGAAGTATTGTACTCATGACTACATCAAGAGAACCTTACTAGGGATGATGCAGTCTTAGCTCGCATGAATCTAACGATCGTGTGGCAAGGTTGAGGCGACGTGGTGCAGAGCCACAGACCCATTGGAAATCCTCGTACCTGCCTGTCATCAGATGGGCTTCACATGTCAACGTACATTCAGTGTGCTTGAAGCATTCAACAATACCAAGGACCAAATAACTACTGCGTAGGGTTGGTTGTTGATACTAGGATGATTTTGTAAATATTATTATTGGGTTTGGACGTCCCTCCGGCTGTCGTCGCACGGTGCCGTGGACGTGAACTCGCGCATGCGGATGACTTGTTGTGTGTAGTGCATGAGCTTTTCTTTCTGCTGTTCCCGCGACCCCGCGGCCGACTCTCGGTTGGTGCGTCGACGGTAGTCCTCTTTCGATTCGCCCTCATGTCGTTCGCTTTTGGGTAGCTTCGCGGGTATCCAGTCATCGAATGCCACCGACGGATGTGCCGCTTGGATGCGGTGGATCTCGGCCAAGATGACTTTCATCTTCCGGTCGCGCTTTTCCCGATATGCCGCGGCGCTCTCGCGATTCTTCGTGTTCTTGACGTCCACAATAATAGGACTACATGAGTTCATGTCTGGCCAAGTCGAGTGATGGCGACGGGGTACAATCTTTCGCTTCAGGTTGCGCCGCTCGATGGCCAGACGGCGCTGGATAGCGGAAGCGTTGATTACGGACGAGAACATGCTGACGGCAGGGCTGCGCGCCACGGGCTCTTCCTTGATGTGGATCGAAGGAAGCACTCGCCATGAATGATGATGGCTGGTCCACGCCATGGGCGTTGAGATCGACTCATGCAAAGACGGAAGGGGCTTCACATCTGTCGATATGTGCAACGGCGCAAGAGTCAAAGTCGGGGGCTGGTGAAGTGTCGGGGGGAATCGACTGGGTGGCGTATTGGGATTGTGCTTGGCTTCGTACTGGGGTGACGCATACATGGTGGAATATGCTGACGGCGGAGACATCGATGGAGGCGGCAGGTCGTAATGATGGTGGTGGTATCTCTGGCTCTCGTGGGCGGTCGGTGGCGGCAAGGACCAGGCATCGCAGCCGCCGTGCTGACCTTGTGTCGTCAAGCTTGGTAAACTTCTGCTTTGTGCGACGTAATGCGGCTGCTGCTGGGGATGCTGCGGCATGGCCACCTTATCTTGGTATCGCATCGTCGACGCGGTGTTTAGGAGCAGGTCCACGTGCATCATTATCGTCGACAACTACTTGGCACTGAATGAACTTGGGTGCGAAAATGCAAAGTGCGTTGTGCCCCATGTCAGCTTCAGACTGTGACGACTTTTCCACACAAAGTGCGTATCAAAATTGTGTCTATCGCACCTACTCGAGTCATGGGGTGTCAGTGTGCGAGGCCGCCAAACAAGGCTGCGGTCCTTGTCGATAACCACCGTAGGCCCATAGCTGGCTAAAGGCAGCCTACACCGCTTGGCAATCTATCACATGTGCTAACCCGACGGAGAGCTGCCTAACGCATCCAAATGACTACCCAACGTGACGTGGAAGATGGAGTTGTTGCGAATTGCACAACCTGAGACATGCCGAATCATAGACAGCACTGCAACTTGCGTTGTTTTTGTAGCTGCGGCTAGGATTAGCCACGTGCATGGCGTGGCACATCCTCGAGCAAGACATTTGATATGGCCAGCACAAGTGTACCCTGCGCTCGTGACGTGGAAGGCTTACTGTAACGTTCACGTGATGTTGGGGTTAAGAATGAACATGATGTCAATGATGTGCTTGGGAACTGTTCTTGAGATGGTAGTTGCTTGTTTGCTTGTACTGACGTGTCGCCAAAGAAGCATGGAGCTCTGTTGATTGCTCCGTGGACAAAATCCAGCCTTCATGCCCTAAGTGCGTATGATGTGCCGAACAGTGAGAAGATAATCTGCCTACTTCAGCAGATACAGGGTTAGTTTGACATGGTACTATTTTTAGTTTTAATAGCAAGAGCAAGAGATTTGCTGCTTTGTTACTTGAATTCCCGCACCACATTGGACCAATTCGAACTTAAGAGGAAATGGATGCTTGTGGCTCGTCATGGACAACGACGACGCAATTCTCGACCTAGCCGTGCCCTTCGCGGCCATTTATTCCGAGCGTTCGTTGTGTCGAGATAACCACAGTAGTAGTGTTAGGTACTACTATGATTAGTGCTATTAATATTGCAAATCAAGTTTGGCGAGGTCGACGTGGAGGGGTGAAGGATTGAGACGTTTCAAGCTTGTGATTTGAACACCTTCAAATTCCATAGTAAATCGAACACTACTTGTAGTAACGTTACTATTATAGTACTTTTGGGACCAATATGTATTGTAAACTACTCGAGTACTAACATTTCAAACGATCAGAAGGCAATAGAGTTAATATTACTATTAATATAATACTATTACTACTAATGAAGTAGTAATAGATTTTTCATACTGTACTAGTAGTACTACAAGTAGTACTGTAGTACTGGGTTGAATCTGTAGTAGTACTAACGTCATCTGTCCAAGGTGCAAGACATTTCCTTTTGCCACGTTTGACGTAGCCAAATCGTGGCGACGCCTTCGTTCATTCTGATGACGAAACGTTTCGTTTGCAAATGTTGGATCGATTACATTTTACTCGTACCGGCTCTAGGTAGAACAGTACAGAAGCTTGGTGTACCAGTACTTGGCCTGCGCCCGCCCACCAATAAACAGAATCGTTAACGTTAACCTTGTTTACTGGACTTCAAGTAATCACCACACTAGTATTACTAACTCTTTAGTCGCTTGTCGTGTTTTTTGCTTCCACATGATTGGCTTATGATGGTTTTGTTTGAGGTTTTCATCGCACACGGATTGGACAATCCTATCCAATCACAGTGGCATATGCTTCCCTCCGTCCCAAAATACTTGCGTAGTCTTGGGGAGGGGGGAAATAACTCGTCATTATATTTCTAAGTTATTTTCAAACTTGTCTGTCGTCTGCCCTTCGTTGAATTTCACGTGTTTCATTGGTCCACATGAACAAGCGCACCAAGTCCTGTCAATTCATGAGTCAGTAAAATACACTGGAACCTTCACAGAAGTCGCTCACAAGTTCTCATACTTTAAATCATATAAATTAGTGACCAACATTCATAATGCGTGTTAACAAACGAACGAAGACCTTGAGGCCAACCTTGGGGAGATTCTGCTCCACAACAGTAAGACCTCCTTCGCAAGATTGCCAAAGGGCGTTGCGCAGGTGCTTGCCCAAAAGTACAACTGCCACCACTCTACCATCCGCCACGTCTTCTTCTCAGGCAAAGCAGCAGGGAGTTGCTACCGGCAACATGAAAGTCTCGGTTTCGAGCGGAAAGAAGGGTCGGGTGGGCAGGACGATGGCCTATACCCCCGAGCAGGTGAAGGCAAAGTTACTGCGAGTGTCGCTCGCTCAACGCATAACACTGTATTCAATGCGTAGGATAAAGTTTTGAGGTGTTTGATATTTTATTCAAGGAGCTGTACATCTTTATTCTGATCTACGCAAGTATTGTGGGACGGAGGGAGAACTGAAAATTTCATATCTGTAACTACCAATGTGCTTGCTCGCCAGCGACCTGCCCTAGGTCCTAGCACAATGCGTAGGCCATACGAGTTGTAGGAACATGTTGATTGACCAGAAGCACGTTAGTTATGCCTAGCTACAGTGCAAGTCGAAGTTATATCTGCTATTCTCGGGACCAAATTGCACAATTTACTGGTCACCATGAACAACTTTTGATATTACAAATGACACACAGCGAGGACATGCTCGTGCAGCGATGTACGTATTGTGCCACATCGTAAAAAACCACGCTATTTTCTTGTCCATCGCATAGTACATGCAGGTAGCGTGTACTACGCGATGGAATTAATAGCCAAGGTGTTTTGGTCACTTCAGCATCACATGTGATTATTATTGCTCAGAGTTACTAGTATTTGGCATTTAGAAAGAACCCCAGTGAATTAGCTAAAACACCAGGTATTTATTCAACTTTGTAACACAGTTACTACTCTGGTCCGAAATAGTTGCAGGGTACGACTTCCGATTGGCGGCATTTTTCTAAATGTCGCTCAATTCGCATGGCGATGTGCACAAGAAAGCGCAAGATCTCAGCTTTGATTGGGTAGTTTGAGAGTGATCTAAAGCTTTTTTTATGAGATACTGGGCGGGAAAAATGACGTGTCGTTTGGTCCAAACTTTAGGCCATCACTGCTTGATCAAAATTCATTTTGAGCACGCCTGCACAGCACACGACCTTCGTGCTACCCTTAACCATGCCTTTGCAACCTACCGCCAGCACTGCCAACCGTCCGCGCAACCCCCGTGGCCCAAAAGGTGGCAAAACCCACCTCGACCACGACGAGCGTCGTTCCATCTACGAAAGCCTACTTGCTGTCTCGTCCTCTGGCATACTGCCTCGAGGTGCCATTGTCAAGTTAGCCAGACAGCACAACTGCCACCCCGACACAGTGCAGCGCGTGTGGGCCCGTGGACAGAGCTCCATCCGTGAAGGCCACATCAGCGCCGATGTTTCGTCGTAAATCCGAGGTATACCTCTTTGAATTTATCGAATTATCGAATTTGAAAAATATTATTTTACAGAGCTGTACTTGCTTTCTCACGCATGCCATATTCCAAGGACGACGGTGCTTAGGCACATGGCCGAATGTCCCCGGCTCAAGGCTCGTTCGAGTTACGTGAATCCATTTTTGACTCCAAGCAACATCCATGAACGCCTGCGGTACGCTATTTCTTTCCTTCAACCTTTGTCGAATGGAAATCATATTTTTGACGATATGCACGATTATGTGCATATTGACGAAAAATGGTTTTATTTGACAAAAGTAAAGAGAAAGTTTTACGTGTACGAGGATGAAGCTGTGGCGGCTCGTTTTGTGAAGTCCAAACGATTTATAACAAAAGTTATGTTTTTGGCGGCGATTGCCCGCCCCCGTGTTGACTTCAACGGCAATATATTTGACGGCAAAATTGGCGTTT